TCAACCCAATTCAATAATAAATTGGGTCATTTGGGCCAATAAAAAAACAATGTAAACAAAAACAAACTACCCAAAATACAAAACAAAAATATAAGAATATATGTATATATGTATATATGTATATATTATAGGAGTAAAATAAACACGTCAAAAATTAGGTGTTCACAGCAGGCCCCTCTTTGCTTGGAAACATGAAAAGTTTTCAAGCGAAGAAAGTGAACAAAGTGGCTAAATTTTTATTGTGGAAACTCCGTTGAAACCATTTTGAAAAAGATGACCGAACCTTGCTTTAGAGGTTGCCTACATATCCTTGATTAAAAGGAAATCAGGTCAGTGTAGTTCGAGAAACTTTGATAGCTGAAACTATCAGAAATTGCGGTCAAAAGATTGATTCACATTGCTTGTCATCATCTACTGTCTATAATTACAAAGAAGAGAGCTAGAGAACTATGCCTCTCTACATTATAAGAGTTACAAGATCCCTACTTGATGTTTTTTCTTAGGGTCTCATCTTGATCTTTGACTTGCTCTGTGCGTTATCTTTGATATTGATCTCCATGCTTTCTTGGCAGCTTGCGGATCATTCTCAGGTGCATGTTTTAACTTGAGTTGGCAGTTGAAACTCAAAATTCAAGATCACAAAATGAAGAACCCAAAAAGAATGTGTTTCTTTTAGGGAAGAAAAAAATGAGAATCTTAAACCAGGACGTATAACCCTAGAAAGACAAGGAGAAGCGGGGTGTGTTGCCCTGAGAGTTTCAAATAAGACGTATTGTCTTTGTGGATTGTCCTAAGATTGGGTATATCCCCAAAAATGTGAATATGGTGTGTATAACCCATGAATGCTGGTGCGTATTGCCCAGGACATGCATATGGTGCGTATTGCCATGAATAGAAAATTAATGTGTATTGCATGTGAATAAGGACTGGTGCGTATTGCACATGAAACAAGACTAGTGTGTTTTGCACATGAATGCAATATCGATGTGTATTGCATGTGATTTGGATTGGTACGTCTTGCTCATGAAAGAAAGACCGATACGTTTCGCACGTGAATAAAGGACGAGTGCGTATTTGCACAAAATTCAAATTGGTGCGTATTGCACGAAATTCAGATTGGTGCGTATTGCACATGAATAAATGATGGTGTGTATTGCACATAAATAAGGGACGTGTGCGTATTGCACGGAATTTAGAGTGGTGCGTATTGCCCGAAACTCTCGAATTGAGAGGTAAAAATGTGAATAGCATGAGATGAAACAACAAACATGTGAAGACTTCGGAGAACTTCCTTTTTGTGATGTTTCTTTTTTTACTTGTAATCCCGCATTTTCTTTTGTTCCTGTGTTGAGCAAAAGAAAGAGAAAATTGTTAGTTTAAAGCGGCGGTTGGTTTGTGGCCTTGATGCTCCGATGACTTGACCATATTTCTGACCATTTTCTCTAACTCTACTCAAAATTCTCGGTTGAACAACCTTTGAAGCTTTCTCTTTGTTGATTCAGGGGCGTTGATCTTTTTGGTACTACCAAATATCATGGTGCGACTGATTTTCCAAAGGATGAATTTTCCTATTGAATACTTTTCATGACTTAAGAGTCTATATCGTGTTCTTTCACGAGTTTTCAGTGAAGATTTGAGGCGTTTTTAGTCCTTGCTCGAGGCATGTCAACTCGGATACTCATTTATTCTTGGGAACCCGTAGTAAATTTTGCAATCTTTTACCTTATTTGTCAAGAGATTATACCGAAAAGACTAGAGAAATATCATATTTAAGAGTGTGAATAAAAAAATCTGGATCAAGAAAGACTATAAACTTAAGGAAGGGCATTTCTTTTGAAGAAAAATGAGAAAGAGAACTTATCTGGAGGCATATGTCGACTTTGAGTGAACCATGACATGCACTTTGGACTTGACCCCGGATCCGCTTGAGTTGTCTAATTCTCAAAATCTGAACCATTATCAATTTATAACTGATCTATGTATTCTTCATGTAGAGGTATCGAGAAATGGTGTTCTTTGCAGATTTCTCCCAACTAGTCATTTTCATGATGTTCTCTTCATTTATCTTAAGGTGCCCTGCAAGGGTTTTCACCGATAAGATTTTCTCTATCATCGTCTTATGGTGCCTATAAAGGTTTTCACCAATAAGATTTTCTTTTTTTTTTTCTTTTTTTTTGACTCGACAAAGTTGTCCTTGATGATCAATTGTCCATGCAAGACACATCGAATTTATCGTTCTCAGAGTTGATCAAAATGTTGGTTGCTAGAATAAAATCAAAAACGAAATCAATTTGACTCTATTCTATCAAAAAAGAAAGGAAAAAAAATGCCCCAGTTTTCTATAGTTACTGGAATATTGATTATTATTATTTTTTTTTTTGGTATGACCGAACCCCAAAGGGTTTCCTACGTATCCTTTCGGAATCAGGTCAAACGTAGTTCAAATTTTCAAAGAGGGTTTTTTTTTTTTTTTTTTTTTTTTGGTTTTTTTTTTTTTTAAGAGATGCATTTGTTCTCTCAGCCACAAACTTGTCACAGTATCTTAGAACGCATTAGATGTAGTATCTTTTGACTGCGTCCGCATTAACAATTATGCTTGTGATTTTTCCCTCCATATCAGTAAGGTGTAAGGCTCCTTTGGACAACACTTCCTTTATAAGATATGGACCTTGCCAATTTGGGGCAAACTTTCCCTTGGCCTCTTCTTGGTGCGGGAGAATGCGCTTTAAGACCAGTTGACCTACTTCAAAGTGTCTTAGGTGCACCTTTTTGTTGTATGCACGAGCCATCCTTTGCTGATAAAGCTGACCAAAAAGGACGGCCGTCAATCGCTTCTCATCTATTAATGTGAGCTGCTTTAGTTAGGTTTTGACCCATTCAGTATCTTCAATTTTAGCCTCGACAATAATTCGAAGAGATGGAATTTCAATTTCCGCTGGTATCACAGCCTCAGTCCCATACACCAGCAAATAAGGAGTTGCACCAATCGAGGTGCGCACTGTTGTGCGATATCCTAAAAGTGCAAAAGGCAGCTTCTCATGCCATTGTCTAGTGCCTTGAACCATTTTCCTAAGAATCTTTTTGATATTCTTGTTGGCTGCCTCCACAGCTCCGTTGGCCTTTGGTTGGTATATAGTAGAATTGTGATGCACAATTTTGAACTGCTCACATACCTCCTTTATCAAATTGCTATTAAGGTTTGCAACATTATCTGTGATGATAGTTCTTGGGATACCAAAACGACAAATGATGTTTGAATGGACAAAATCCACGACCGCCTTCTTTGTGACTGTCTTAAAAGTGATTGCCTCTACCCATTTAGTAAAGTAATCAATTGCGACCAAAATGAATCGATGTCCATTAGAAGATTTTGGCTCAATTGGTCCGATGACATCCATTCTCCATGCAACAAAGGGCCAAGGAGCAGCCATGGGGTGCAACTCTGAAGGAGGTGAATGAATGAGATCACCATGAATTTGACATTGATGACATATTTTCACAAAGCGAAAGCAATCCCGTTCCATGGTAAGCCAGTAATATCCTGCTCGGAGTATTTTTTTCGCAAGGACATATCCATTCATGTGTGGTCCACATAACCCAACATATACTTCATTCATGATCTTCTCGGCTTCTTCAACATCCACACATCTCAATAAGTTCTGATCCGGGGTGCGTTTATAGAAAATTTCCCCACTAAAAAAGAACCCACTAGCCAAACGTCTAATAGTTCTTTTCTGGCTTCCATTGGCATGTTCGGGACATTTCCCTGTTTGCAAGAAATTCCTGATGTCTAGGTACCACAGCTCACTATCTGATTCTGCTTCCACAGTGTTACAATAGCCATGTTGGTCCGGAAGTTGAATCTCCAAGGGAGTAATACAAGTGTTTCCCGGATATGGAAGCATTGAGGCCAAAGTGGCCAAGGCATCTGCCATATCATTATGAAATCTAGGGATGTATCTAAACTCGATGGACCTAAACCTTTTGCTAAGATCTTCCACACATTGTGTGTAGGGAAGAAGCTATAGGTTTCGAGTTTTCCATTCGCCCTGAGCTTGCCTAATAAGCAAATCAGAATCTCCCAACACAATCAATTCTTGCACACCCAAATCTATTGCCATATTTAGACCCATGATGCAAACTTCATACTCTATTGTGTTATTTTTACACAAGAAACGAAGTTGAGTTGTTGCAGGGTAATGCTGTCCTGTGGGCGTTATGAGAATTGCCCCAATCCCTGTGCTTTTTTTGTTGATTGCTCCATCAAAGTATAATTGCTAGGCCTGGTTTTTATCTGGATCTACTTCTTCAACTGAGTTAATCTCTTCATCTAGAAAATATGTATCCAGTGGTTCGTAGTCGCTATCGACTAGATTCTCTGTCAAGTGGTCTGCTAGAGCTTGAGCTTTCATTGCAGTTCGAGTGACATATATAATGTCAAATTCAGTGAGCAATATTTGCCATTTCACGAGTCTGCCAGTTGGCATTGGCTTCTGAAAGATGTACTTCAACGGATCCATCCTAGATATGAGGTAAGTTGTGTAGGAAAAAAGGTAATGCCTTAACTTTTGAGCTACCCAAGTTAGGGCGCAACATGTCCTTTCCAAGAGGGTGTACTTGACCTCATAACTAGTGAATTTCTTGCTCAAGTAGTAGATAGCTTGCTCCTTCCTGCCTGTGGAATCGTGTTGACCGAGAACGCACCCAAAGGAATTATCTGTCACTGAAAGATATAGAAAGAAAGGCCTATCAAGTTCAGGCGGGACCAATACGGGAGGTTTGGACAAATATTCCTTGATTTTTTCAAAAGCTTGTTGACAATCATCCGTCCATCTGACAGCAACATCCTTTTTCAAAAGTCTAAAAATGGGCTCACAAGTGGTTGTGAGTTGAGCAATAAACCTGCTAATGTAGTTCAACCTCCCAAGTAGACTCATGACTTCGGTCTTATTTTTCGGGGGTGGCAAATCTCGAATGGCTTTTATTTTGGAAAGATCCAATTAGATTCCCCTTCTACTGACAATAAAACCCAGAAGTTTTCCAAATGGAACTCCAAATGCACATTTTGCTGGATTAAGCTTGAGATCGTATCTTCGCACTCTTTCGAAGAATTTTCTCAGATCTTGCACATGGTCATCTTGTGTTTTAGACTTGATGATTACGTCATCGACGTATACTTCGATTTCTTTATGCATCATATCATGAAACATGGTGGTCATAGCCCTCATGTAAGTTTCCCCAACATTTTTAAGACCGAATGGCATGACCCTATAGCAATAAGTCCCCCATGGAGTGGTGAAAGCAGTTTTCTCAGCGTCCTTTTCGTCCATCAAGATTTGATGATACCCTGCACAGCAGTCCACAAATGATTGAATTTCGTGTCTAGCACAATTATCCACCAGAATGTGGATATTAGTTAAGGGAAAAATGTCTTTTGGACTAGCTTTGTTCAAATCCCGATAGTCAACACAAACTCTTGTCTTTCCATCCTTTTTCAGCATAGGAACAACATTTGCCAACCAAGTAGTGTAACGAATGGTTTGGATCACATTTGCATTTATTTGTTTAATGATTTCTTCCTTGATTTTTTCACTCACGTCCGGATTGAATTTTTTTCTTTTTTGTTGGACGGGTGGAAAATCAGGATGAGTGGGCAACTTATGGACCACTAAATCAACACTCAAACGTGGCATGTCATCATAGGACCAAGCAAACACATCTTTGTATTCAAACAAAAGTTGTATTATGGCATCCCTAGTTTCCTTCTTGACATGAAGACTTATTTTTATTTCTTTGACTTCCTCATTACATCCCAAATTTATGGCCTCAGTTTCACTAAGATTAGGCTTAGGTTTTTGCTCAAATTGTTCCAAATCCCTATTAATTTCCCTAAAAGCCTCTTCTTCATCATATTCAACCTCTCGACTCGGGGATTCAAGAATAAACAACTCTTTGAGATCTGGGAGTGAATTCCGCATGCATGTCATGTTATCAAAGCCGACATTTACAGAACTGAAAAATGGAGAATAAGAATCAGGGGAGGGAAAAGACAAAATTTTACTATGAAACTGGAATTTCATTTCATTGAAATTAAAAAAGGATAGAAGGGTTGACATTAAAACAAAACACTTTCAAATATTCGGATCACAACCCTGACAACAACAAAATACAAAAGAGTAGCAAAACAAACTACCAAGACTCCTTCCTTATGGGGAAATGAGTGGCTACCCAATTATTTACCTTAAAATCGGAGCCCACAAGCTGCACATCGGCATGACTTGTACCTTAACCAACTTGGACCATGTTTACTCCACAAAACAACTGACTGAGATCCTGAATAAATTCTTCAATGTCTTCATGAGTAAAGGAAGCTTCCATTTCTGGAACCTGAGGCTTGATAAAGGAATGATAAATATGGGGAATTGGTTGTGGCAATGCCCAATCAGTCCTTTTGTGGTTCTTAGTCTCATCTCCATTTCTCTTGCTTTGTTTGTATCCGAGGCCAGAGGTGCCTTGGTTTCCTAAAAGAGTAATGGGATCCACAATTCCTTGCGAACATAGTCCCAAACCTTTACCAGGTTGATAATCATATTATAGCATTGTCGTTGCTACCATTGAAGAGGAAGAAGAGAGACATGGTTGGATAATGTGGTCTCATTCTCTAAAGCGATCGACTGATACTGCCTCAAAAGAATGGTAAACAATGGAATCACATCCTTCTTTTGCCTCAATGTATGGAATGAAGGGATCTCTGTAAATAGGTAAATCATCTTCCCCATGCACAATGATTTCCTGATGGTTGTGTTAAAACTTAACAACTTGATGCAGAGTTGATGGGACTGCCCGAGCCATGTGGATCCATGGCCTTCCCAATAGAAAATTATAAGATGTGTCCATGTCCATTACTTGGAACACAATCATAAAGTCCACCGGTCCAATTGTCATGTTTAACTTGATTTCACCAATGGTATCCCGCCTTGAGCCGTCATAAGCTCGAACAAATATATTGCTGGGGCGAATTTTGTCAAGGCTAATTTTCAAGTTTTGCAGCGTAGAGAGAGGACATATGTCTACCCCGGATCCCCCATCTATCATGACCCTCTTTACATAGTACCCTTCACATTTGATCGTAAGAAACAATGCTCTGTTGTGTCCAGCTCCCTCTGTGGGCAACTCATAATCAGTGAAAGTAATGGTGTTTGACTCAAAGATGCGCTTGGCCATTTTCTCTAACTGATTTACCATGGTCTCCTTCGATACATGTGCTTCATTCAAAATCTTATTCAACACACGACGATGTTCTTCTGAGTGCAAGAGTAGAGACAACAATGAAATTTGTGTTGGGGTTTTCTTCAATAGTTCCATAACAGAGTAATCTGGAACCTTTATCTTATTTAGAAACTCTTCTGCTTCTTCCTCAGTAACTGTTTTCTTCAGTGGTACTTGGATGTTTTGAGTCATCTTCCCTTTTCTTATTTCTTCTGGAGAATAACATCTTCCAGAGCGTGTCAGCCCTCCTGCTTCATCAACCTCTTCAAAAATCTCCTTTCCTCGGTAAACCACAGCGATTTTGTTATAGTTCCAAGGGACAGCCTTTGAATCAGTTACCGGAAGTTGTTGGACAGGCTTAACAAAGATAGGTCCTTTCAACTTTGCCAAGCAATTTTGGTCCTGTTGTGTTAATGAAAAACCTTTTGATACATACAACTTTGGCATACTTGCTCGAACTTCAATCCCCTTCGAAACCCTTGAGACACACAAAACTTTGGTATCAAGGTTAACACCTTCCACACTCAAAGATGCAACTAGTTCTAAACTATTTATCGGCTTGTTTTCCTCTCCGATCTTCCTAAACAACTTTCCCATTTTTCAAGGAGCTTGTACTCTTGATCATCGCAAATCATACCCACTAAATTGTTTGGAGCTGGAAGTGGGTTATTAGTCACATTGGGAGAGTTTTGATCATCTATCACAACGACCACTCCATGATCGATTAGCTTCTCTATCGCCCCTTTCAAGGTCCAACAATTATCAGTGTTGTGTCCTGGGGCGCCTGAATGATACCCACATCTTTCATTGGCTTGGAAATCTGGAGCAGTTGGATTCAGACGATGTGGTGGGATAGACCCAATCACTCCTATCTTTCTTAACTTTTGAAACAAGCTGGAGTATGACTCTCCCAATGGAGTGAATTTCCTTTTCTGTCCTTGTTCTTGAGCTTAATTTTGCATAGATGGAGGGTTGTAAGGGACCTGATAGGGTGGTCGTTGTGGGCGAAGGTTTCCTTGAGTTGGGGCCCGAAAATGTAGGCGATTGGGAGAATGCACATATGACTGGGCATTGAAGACCGTGTTTGGAGATGGAGATACTGGATATTGAGGGACATAGGGGTAGTAATATTGAGGATATCTAGATTGTCCTTAAAGTGGTGGGTAAGGACAATTAGAATTCCTTTGAGCACCCCCTAACCCTGATGTTAGCGAAGAAACTTTCTCTTTTCTTTTACGATTTCCAAAACTGCCTGAACCACCTTGAATGGCATGTGTGGTAGCTTTGATTGCTGCCTGGCTCACTATCCTTCCTGTTTTGAGACCACTTTCGATCATTTCTCCAATTTTGATTGCTGTGTGAAACGGTCTTCCCATTGCGGTTGTCAGGTGGTGGAAATAATCTGGATCTTGAGCCTCTATGAAGATATCAACCAATTCTTGCTCATCTAAAGGTGGTTTGACCCGGGCTGCTTGTTCCCTCCATTTGATAGCATACTCTCTGAAGCTTTCATTTGGCTTTTTTCTCATATTAGAGAGTGTATTGCGATCTGGCACAATGTCAACATTGTACTGAAATTGTCTAACAAAATCTTGAGCCATATCATCCCAAATGTGCCAGTGGGAGATCTCTTGGTCTATAAACCATTCTGAGGCAACACCAGTCAGGCTTTCACCAAAATAAGCCATGAGCAGTTCCTATTTAACCCTGCACCTCTATGTTGATTACAATATCTCTTGAGGTGAGCTATGGATCACTGTTCCCGTCATACTTATCAAACTTAGGGGTTTTGAATCCAGGTGGCAAGTGGACATTTGGGAACATACAAAAGTCTTTGAATGTGACACTTTTGTGCCCTCCTAGCCCTTGCATACTTTTCATCTGTTGCTCGATGCTTTTCATTTTCTTCAACATTTCCTCTTGCTCTGAGACTTGAGGGGGCCTCTCAACATCAATAGGGGAGCCGAATTGTATAGAATTAGGGCCCCCGAATACTATCCCAGGAGTATAGTATTGCTCTGGATGGACGGTGAACTGTCCCTCTTGAGTAGCTCTCTGCGTCACAGTTGGTTGTGGGAGAGTATAGACCGGTGCAGCTGTCGCGACAGTGGGATTATTCCTGAATGGCATGCCTTGAGGGTGTGTTGTTGATGGTCCGGCCCCACAATTATCAAATGGTCCATACCCCGGAGGAAAGAAAGGATTTGATATCGGGACCTGAGAAGACGAAGATCAGATACTAGTGATCTCAGGAAAACCGGGGATAGACGTTGGTGGTTCTTGGCCATTGGCTCAGGCTTGCCACAATTGTGCCATAACATGTCTCAATGTCCGATTTTCTTCAATAGTTGTTGACTCTCTTGTCGTTGGATCAACAGGAGTATCCACTGGGTTCACCACAGTTTCAGTATTGCTTGTCATTGACGCTTTTACCTTAGACCTGGTAAAGTACGGGTGTTCTGCCAGTTTACCACAAACCAACCACCGAAAGCTTACTAAAGAGATGAGAAGTGAACAAACTTGTTAGGGGTTAGACATTATTCACACATTTGTTAATCACATAATAACATGAGTTCAAAAGGCTATTGTCTCATCCTAGCTTTGCTTCGCTCATTGTCTTCCATTTTTTCCCTTTTTTTAAAAAAAAGAAAGTTTTGATCGAACCCTTTGGAGGTTTCCTACGTATCATGTCGCCGCATGAATCAGATCATTACGTAGTTCGGAAATTTAAACCACTCAACAACATTAATTTAGACAAGCAAAGTCCAACCCTTTCATTCATTTCAAAAAACAACTTTAAGCAAAATGACAAGATCAATGGGTTTAAACATAACCATGATCAACATGATCTCTTTAAACACCGAACTTTAAACTGAAACACTGAGTCTTAAACAAAACAAGATAAAATAAACAAAACAAACAAACTACACAACTAAACTCTTCCTCAATCTTCATCATCTTCCTTGGGATTTCTTTGTCCTCCTAAGGTCACGTACAGATTTAACAACACCTTCGGCAGATGGGGAACAATGGCCCGTGCTTGCTCAGCCACTTCTGGATCATTCATGCGACGATGATTTTTAATAGCATAAGAGGTTTGTTCCGCCAGCTGATGAACTTGACGCCTAGCCTTTCCCATATTTTCATAGCAGTTATTCAACCAAACCTGATGATCACCAAGATTGTTCCTTAAGAGGGCCTCTCACTCCTCTGCTTCTTCAAGTTGATGGCGAAGTGTTGCTCTCTCAATGATCATTTGTCTTTGCCCCTCTTCGATATCGACACACTGACTGATTTTTCTTTTATGTTCTTCTAACTCTACTTTAAGTTGATCATGTAAATGCATCCAACATGACCTTTCTTTCTCAAATTTCTCCTTCCGCCGCTTAAGTTCTCCCCTTAGGTAGTTCACGACCTCTTCAGATGCCACTAAGTCCCTCTTCAATCGAGAAATTTCAAAACTCTGCTCCTTTTTTATTTGTCGGGCCAAGTGAATTCTACTAACCAACTCTTCCTCTAGACGGGCTAATTTCCCCTCTGCATGTTTCAATTCCCCTTCCGCATCTTGTAACTCCAACTGAATATTTCTTCCTCTTTAGACTTGAACTACTTGCCGGGCAATGGTGGTTTTGGCCTTCTCCAACTCTTTTTCCAATTGTCTTATGATGTGCTGGTTTTTTCTTTTTCTGCTGGATCCTTCGGGAATGTTACCAAATGTTGTTGGATCACGAAACCACGATAAGTACCTAGGCACCACTTTTCCTTTATCTTGCTCCACCACCATTTCACTTAGCTCAGAAATTATACTTCCAAACCAGATCTTCAGTGCTATCAAAGGCAAAACCTGACGGGGTGTCAAATACAAATCTACTCATATCATCATTTGGTGGGATTTCTTGTACTTTAGTCAGCTGACGCATAACCCAAAGTGGGGCATAGGGTTGAACACTTCTAAACCCAATCAACACAAGAAACGAGATACCACTAGACGTGCAAATGACATCCTTAACTGGGAACCAATAATAATTCCACACTATTTCATCAGATGTGATCACCGAAAGGATCTCTTCACACGCTATAATTCCTTTTGGAAAATTGATTTTTGCTTCTCTTTCCTTATGGGAGGAAACATAATTACACCAGTCTGGAGTGAACCTGGGTGCACAATCATGGTGATAAAGATGCTCCAAAAACCATATTTGCAACAAAATGTTGCAGCCTTCAAAGTACATTTCCCCATTTATGCATTTAGTCAATGCACGGAACATATCTGCCAGGATCATAGGAATAATAGTAGGACTCTCCATTGTGGTCAACGCCTTCACCACCCAGCCAGACGAATATCAATATGTTTGTCCCGTTTGGGGAAAACAATGAGCCCCAAAAACGCGACCATGAAGGCAAAACATCCATTCGCCTTCCAAGCCTCTTCACCCCCTTGGTTGCTAAGTTGGTTCCGATAGTTTTTAAATCCATCCTTTTGGCCATACCTCTCGTATAGAAAGTCCAATGAAACCCACCCATTTTTCAAACTCTCCTTCTCTACTTGATTGATCTTGAGAAGTTCCAGGAACTTTTTGGCATCAACGTTCTTTGGAATTATAGGTTTTTTGTTGCGGAGATCAGCACCCCGAACACTGGACCCCTTCCCCATGAAGCTGGCGATTTCTTCCAGAGTTGGTGTCATCTCGAAGTCAGAAAATCGAAATACATTATTTTTTGAATCCTAGAAAGGAATCAATGCCTCGATCACATCCCTTCTAGGGTCAATCTCCATTAGATGCACTAGATGTCCCAAATGTTCTTTTACTCTCCTTTGCTCATGACTCCCCATGTCTGTCCACCATCGCCATAAATTCTTGGGTATTGTGTCAACGATCATGAACTCTGGAATTCCTTCACTTCTAGGCCTTTTGGAACCCTGTCCTTTGTCGGAGGTGCCATTTGTACCTTTGAATAGAGTCCAATTAATGTTTTATGACAAACTCTAACCGAGGGAGAAAGAAAGTAAACAAAAAATTATTTTAAAAAAAAAAAAATACCTCTTTTTACAAACAAAACGAAAGGGATGCCTACGTATCTCATTTTAGTGAGAATCAGGTGTGCGTAGTTCATAAAAAAAACTCACACTTGAAAGACTTTTTATTTCAACCTCTTTTTATTATTATTTTTTTTAAAATAAAATAAAAAAATTGAAAGACAAAGCTATTATAAAGCTGTCAACAATATAAAGGCCTTCTGAACAAATTATTTCACGTAACACATAAAATGAACATGTTGGTCTAAGTGGGCACATATCTTAGATTTTCTAGGTCAAATGCAAATGATACAAATAAACGTAGCCTACCAGAGATAGTTTTTGCTAGGTTTAGCACTTTTTTTGGAAGGTGTCTAGACTGGCTTACTCGAGTGGACAACTCGAGTCGGGGAGGGTCAGCGTACCGGTAGCAGAGCTATTCCGGCTTAACTGGTGGTCCAACCCGCCTAACATGTGTGACAAACCTAAACCAGGAGCGTAACCGCACATTGGCTCATCCTAGACAGAATCCCGTGGAGCGTATCGCACACACAGTGTATAAAAATTCTAGAGATTCAGA